CTTGACTAAGAGTTGAAAAGAATCATCAGAAAGGATGAATTTTGGAATTAAGTATGTTTGGGAAGGAGAGGAGATATTCCTCACTGATAAGAGGAAAGAATTATGTGATTCAGGAAACTAAAGAAGGTGAGCTACTTCTTTCAAGATTCCTTTTTTTAATCATAGGAGTACAGATGAGTCTATATCTCCTAAATGATTAAAAATTGGAAGAGTCAATCACTCATTCAATAAACACTTATTAAGCACCTACTATGTGCCAGGCACCATGCTAAGTGCTAGGGATACAGTGGAAGATAAAAGACAGTCCCTGCCCTCAAAGAGCTCACAAATCTAATGGAGGTAGGTGACAACAAGGTAACAAATATGTACAAACAAGCTGTATTCAGGATAGAGTGGGAAGAAATTAAAAGAAAGAATTTACAATTAAGTAATTAAGAGGGGTCAGGAAAAGCTTCCTGAAGAAGGTGGGATTTTAGATGCAACTTGAATGAAGTTAGGGAAGCCAGAAGGCAAAGATGAGGAGAAAGAGCATTCTAGGCAAGGGGAACAATCAGTGCACATTCCTAGAGTTCAATGATGGAGTGTCTCGTTCCAAGGAACAACATGGAGGCTGGTGTCACTGGATTGAAGAGCATGTAGTGGGGTGTGAGGTATAAGGAGACTGGAAAGGTGTGGTGTGTGTATGGGGATGAGGTTAGGTTATGAAGGGCTTTCAATGCCCAACAGAGAATTTTATACTTGATCATGGAGATGATACAAAGCTACTGTAGTTTATTTAATGGGGCCAGTGGGAGGGTGACATAGACCCATGATTTAGGAAAATCACTTTGTCTGAATGGAGGATGAAGTGGTGTGAGGAGAGACTTGCGGCAAGTATATCAACACACAGGTTATTATAGTAGTCCAGATTAGAGGTGATGACGGCCTACACCAGGGTGGTGGCAGTGCAGAGGAGAGAAGGAGATATATTTGAGAGATGCAGCAAAAATGAAACCTATAATCCTTGGCAACCTATGGGATATGAGAAGTGAGAAATAGAAGTTGAGGATGACACCTAAGTTATGAGCATGGGTGACTGGGAGAATGGTGTTACTGTGGATAGTAATTGAGAAGTCAGGAACAGGGAAGGATTTGGAGGAAAGATAATGAATTCAAGTTGCATATGTTGAGTTTAAGATATTTACTGACCATCCAGTTTGAGATGTCTGATAGGCAGTTCGATTAGAGGTCAGCAGAGAGCTTAGGGTTAGAGAAGTAGATTTGAGAATCATCAGATAATTTAATGCATAGGAGCTGATGAAGTCACCAAGTGAAATGGTATAAAGGGAGAAGAGAAGAGGACCCAGGGCAGAGCTCTGGAGGACACCCACCCATGGTTAGCAAGTATGACCTGAATGAAGATTGGGCAAAGGAAATTGAGAAGTGGTCAGGTAGGTAGTAGGAGAACGAGGAAAGAGTATTATCCCAAAAACCTAGAGAGAAGAGAGTATCAAGGAGAAGACAGTGATCAATACCTAAAGGCTACAGAGAGGTCAAGAAGTCTAAGGTTGAGAAAAGGCCAACGGACTTAGCAGTTAAGAGATTATTGGTAACTTTGGAGAAAGCAGCTTCAATGGAATGATGAGGTTGGAATCCAGACAGTAAATAGTTAAGAAGAGGAAAGGAATTGGAGGCACTTTTTATAGATGGTCTTTTCAAGGAGTTTAGCCACAGAAAGCAGCAGAGACAGAGGAAGATGATTAGCATGGAGGGAAGGATCAAGTGGGGTTATTTTGAGGATTGGGGAGATACGGGCATGTTTGTAGGCAGTAGGAAGGAATCAGTGGAAAGATTGAAGATAAGTGATAGAGTGAGGATGACAGGGAATAATCTGTTGGAGGAGACATGATGGAACGGCATCACTTATGAAAAGGAGTAAGGGCATCTGTTCATGTGAGAGAGGAGTGTTGGGGGAAATAATGGCAGAAGGCATCTGAGTGATATAAGATTAGGAAGAGGGAAGAAGGGGGAGCTCACAGTGAATGGCTTAAATTTTTTCTGTAAAATATGAGGCAAGGGTCTCAGCTGACAGGGTGGAGGGAGGGGGAGCCATGAGAGACTTGAGGAGGAATAAAAAAGATTTGGAAGAGCTGCTGTGGAAGCTGTGAGATAGCAAATTCATAAGGAAGGTATGGGAGAATTGCCGAGCAACAGTGAGGGCCCCTAGAGGTTGTGTAATACAAATTTGTAGTGGACCCAGTCAAAAGGATTGTGTGATTTTCTCCACTTTCATTCAGCAGCACATGAGTAGGAGTGAAGGCTTTGGATGGCAGAAGTGATCTAAGGCTAAAGCTTGGCAGGGAATAATTGCTTATATTACAAGGGGGGCCGGGACTCAAAAAAAAAAAAAAAAAAGAAACAGTGTAGACTTGAACTGGTTAATCAAGGGGACAGGATGGGGAAGGGAAGAGAGTATGGCTAGTGTAGGGGAGATGATCTACTAGAGAATTGAGAGTTTAAGGGACTGGAGGTTGAGGTGAGGATGAAAAGTAGGGTTTTGTATTGGAAGGCAGAGAATGAAATGGAATGCTGATAGGCTGTGGTCAGATAAGAGGATTTCAGAGTTCATGAACATAGAAGTGGTTTATTTCTAGGTTATGGCAAGATCAAAGGGATGATATCTCTGTATGTGCTTGAGGTGGGGTGGAGGGATGGGTCATGGGAAATGAGTAAGTTGAGGAATTGGGATATTAGGGTATTTGGGAAGGAATAGAGGAGAGAAGGGTTGTGAACCAGGTGTAGAACTCATGGAGGAGAGAAGGGGAATGTTCTGGAGGTCTGTAGACAACAGCAACCAGGATTTTGATTAGGTGGTAGATGTGTATTGTATGGACCTCAGAGAAGGAGAAGGTACTGAGTCATGGTGGTAGGGAAAGAATCTGCAAGTGTTAGTGGGGAGCAAGGAATATTGCAACTCCATCACCCCAACTAGTGAGCCAGGGATAATGACTGAAGGTATAACCAGTACTGGAAAAGGCGGCTAGGGAAGGTGAATGATCCAAAGACAAAGGAGAGATGTGGAGTGAATATAAAGGGGTCTCATCTTATGACTTACACGCAGTCAATGACGTAGAAAGCATGACACCAGACAAGCATGAGCACAGATAGATGAGACACTCTATCAAGGAAGACTGACAATATACCAACATCCTTAGTGCTCCCTCTTGGTGCCCTAAGATGCTAAAAGACGCAGAGAATGACTTACAATGCATCTGCTTGGTCCTTTTTGGACAACTTATGGAAAGATGTGGACGAGAATGGCTTAGGATAAGTATACGTAGAAGAATCACGATATACTCTGCAGGAAGCAGTCCCCATCCCAAAGAATGAAAATCAAGAATTTAGGCTTAAGACAAGATATTGGTCCTGGCTGGGTAGTATTTAATGTACTCCAGTCTTAAATAAGAAGCCATTCACACAAAGGTTCCAAACCAAATATATAATAAATAAATCATTAAGTTAAAAAAACATAGTTTATATTAAAATTTAACTCTTAGTGGCAATTGTAAATACAACAGAGTAATATAACACTGAATAATAATGCTACAGTTCTGTACACGTGTCTTCAAAGGACACCATCAGCTAAAATCATAAAAATATGATTAATCTTCTCTAAAAGGTATAGCGTTCCCTTGCCTCACAGAGCAGGTGTGTGGGTTTACTCTATCCATATTGCCTGCTGCAATGGTCTTCTATAGAAACATCTCCCTTGTTTCTGCAGTAGGGGGTGCTAGAGTGCCTTTCAAATCAAAATAGATCAATGGAACTCTAGATGCCAAGGTAGGGCCAGTTCTTTTCCCAGTAAGAATTCTCAAAAAAAAAAAAACAAAAAAAAAAACCCAATTACAGCTGGAAGAGAACTTAGAGATTAACTAGCTGGTTCGTCTTCATTTAACAGATGAAGAAAACGAGGCCCAGAGAGGGCAGGCTACTTTCCATCTGTAAATGGTATAATGTCCAAAAGTCATTCATCCTTTGCCTCTGATTGGTCTTGAATAAAATAAGACAGAAGCAGAGCTTTCCACTGGCCTTCCTTTCCCTTTGGTTTCTGAACAGCCGTTGTCCCTCCTTGTGTTTCAGGAAAGATCTCTTAGGCCTCAAGTTTACTTGTACTTTTAAAAGCTCCGCCTCCCCCCCCCCCACCTCAACTTCCATGAAAGGATTTTTATTTCAGGTAAAGAACTTGGTCAAACAGCTTCTGAGCAGATATTTCAGAGGTCTAACCATTATGGTACTGAGAGAAATCCATTATTTTGAAACTCAAACCATGATATCAAAGAAACAATCAACCACCAAACCGGGCAGAGATAAGAACATATTAAGTAAGTGTTTCAGGTGCTGCAGAACTGCTGACCTACCATGGTTTCCATAGCATTGGCCAAACCAGATAGAAGTGGATAGCTTTTAAGTTTGAGCTAAGACACATGTAACGGTTCATGGTTATCATCATGTGTGCCAGCCATTTCCAAAATGGTTGAGCGTTTCAGAATGCAGTGTGGTAATTGAGCTGAGGTCCTAAGAAAAAATCATGGTCTTGAAAATATTTGTTTGGAACCAGCTATTTAAGTGAAACCATCCTCCACTTGAGTTAGTAGGTGGTTGCTGTACACTTCTCTTTCAAAACAGTAGATTTTTTTTCTCTCACTTCCTACTAGACCCGGAGCGTTGATCATCCCACACATTCTCTGTTCTTTGGCATGTTCCAAAGATCAATCTGACAGAGATAGGGGCTTCTTGAATTAGCTTATGACTCTGTGGTAACAATTTTGTTCTTTAGAGCAAGGGATCTTAACCTTTTTGGGTCATCGGTTCCTTCTAGCAGTCTAGTGAAGCCTATGGACCTCTTCTCATAGTAATGTTTTGTGATACATACAATGAAATACATAGAATTACAAAGGAAACCAAGTATAAGGAAATGCAGTTTTCCAAAAAATTTTTTAGAAAAGTTCACTGACCACAGATTAAGAACTCGTCCCATAAATATATTTAGCCTCATGTAGAAGGTTATCAAAGAGGCTGCTTGTTTCCATTACACTGTTTGGATGCGTGGCATATTTAAGACATTTAAGACAAAGGGACATTTCTTTCCCCCAAACCATTTAGACACAAGTTGTGCAAGGAATTCTGCAATGTTGGCTCCATAGGAGTTCAGTTTTCAGACTTCAAAGTTCAGGTTGGCCAGGGATGTTATTGCTGCCTGCCATCTCCTGTATCCATTATGAAGGCTTTGTTGGAGAATGGGAGGGGGGCAGAAAATGAAGTGTGGCAGCCCCAGCTGGCCCAGAATACTTTCTATGAACTTAGTGGATAGGATACTGGAGTTAGAGTCAGGAAGACCTGAGTTCAAATCCTTCCTCAGGGTTACAAGCAGTTGTGGCCCTGAGCATAGATCACTTAGCTTTTTTTTTTTTTTCCTTCTCAGACTCATCTACAAGATGACGAGGTTAGGCTCGGTGGCCTCTAGAGTCCCTTCCAGCCTTCAGTCTGTGAACGGTCAGGAGATTTTGGTAGGGTCATTTTGTACCCTCTGCTGGCACAGTACCCTAATCCTATTAAAAAAACCATGAATAATATAAATACATTTCTTCATTTCCATAGAATATAAATATTCCATTGGATCCTTATGAGCAAAGTGACGTTCTTAGTAGCCAGCTAGAAAAATAATTCCCCTCAAAGCATAAATAAGTTACATTTTTAACATGTAAAATATACTAAGAATGGGGGGAAAACTGTTCAGATAAGATTTTAAAAATTAGGTCTTTTTCTCTTTTAAAAAAGTTTGGTTTTTTAAAATAATTTTTCTTAGCTCCTGTTTCTATGTTCTGACTCATGTTTGAATAGGGACATTTTCTATTATGAATATAAACTAGCCAGGATTTAATTAAGCATGGTAAGGAGATCAGGTTTGCCAGAGGAGAAAGGGAACAAGGAAGACGGGGGCAGATCCAGAGTGACTCCATCTAGATCCTCTTCCCCATCTCCAGGTGACAGTACCCCGCCGGGTAACACAGTGAAGGATGAATATCAGAGGACGTGGCCTCTCCATCTGTCCCCTCGGTACGTCACCAAATCCGGGATGGAAGAAGGGCTCGAAGGTTTGTAGCTGATAGTAATTTTGGAAAACTCTTCCTGACTTTAAACTCTTATCTGAACTCATTTCCCCCCATCACAGTTATACTGCGTTTGCTCGGTTAGAATATTAAGATCTTAGAGTATGTCATATAGTGTCCAACTTTCTCTTAGGGCTTCAGGCATCTTCACCTCCCTCATGTATTAGGTGCAGTGGCCGTGGCAACGATGATGGTGGGGATGATGCTGATCATAAGAAATCATCTGTGAAGACAACACAGTATCAGTGATCCCAGCACGAAGGGCCCGGTCCCCATGTGTAGATGGAGGTGATGTAAGAAACAAAGATACCTTTTGGAGAAGTGATCTCAGGCTGTCGAGGAATTCTTGGGGTGGTTTCTTCTTAAAGGAATCACAAGAAGGGCATTTCTGCAAAGCCAAGAAGCAGAAGCACTCATTTGCACCCTTAATGTCATGGTTTCTTGGAAAGAAGAAAGGAAGAGAAGGAAGGAGGAGAGGAGAGAGGGAGAGAGGAATGGATGGAAGGAAGAGAGGGATGAAAGAAAAGATACATGAAAGGAAAGAACGGGAGGGAGGGAGGAAACAGGCATTTATTAAGCACCTACTACATTCTAGGCATTACACTAAACTCTTTACAAGTATCTCGTTTAGATGGGCGTGCACATCACCTGCCTATTATCCATCAAGCCAAAAGACAAAATCCTGTACTGTCACTTTACTGGGGCAGGGTGGGGCAAGTGGGGGAGAAGGAGGATGGAAAGAACTTGGAGCCAAGAGCCTGGAGTCCTGGATTCTATTCCCACATTTGTCCTAATGTGTGAATAATTTTTGTTAAGTCACAACCTCTTTAGGCCTCCTTACTTATAAAATGAGAGCATTGAATGAAGTGATCTTTAAAGTATTAAAAAATCCCATGACTTCTCTCTCCTCTCTCTCTTTTTCCCTCTCCCCCTCCCTCTCTCTCTCTCTCCCTCTCTCTCTCTCTCTCCTTCTCTCTCCCTTTCTCCCTCTCTCCCTCTCTCTCTCTCCCTCTCTCTCTCTCTCTCTCTTCCTCTCTCTTTCTCCTTCCTCCCTCTCTCTCCTTCTCTCTCCCTTTCTCCCTCTCTCCCTCTCTCTCTCTCCCCCTCTCTCTCTCTCTCCCCCTCCCCCTCTCCCTCCTTCCCCCTCCCTCTCCCTCCCTCCCTTTCTCTCCCTCTCTCTCTTCCCCCCCATTCCCCCCCCCTCGGAGGAAGGCAGAATAAAGGCAGTCAGGGATGATGGGTGGTCTTTTTTCCATTCATTCATCAACCAACAAGCATTTATGAGATGTCTACTATGGGCTAGGAAGTGTACTGGGTGCTGTGGATGGAAATGCAAAGAATGAAACCATCTTTACTCTTAGGGAATCTGTATGCTGTTGGGGATGACAACCCACACATATATAAGCATACACAGAATAAACACAAAGTGTGTGGGAGAGAGGGAGGATATGAGCAGTTGGGGGTATCAGGGAAGGCTTCACATAGAAGGTGCCATTTCATTCTCGCCCCAGGCCTGCCTGAACCACCTGACTGGCCTGAGTCAAGCCTAGCCAGGGTATTGACTCTGGAACTTTGTTTTGAAGGAAGAGAGGGATTTTATGGGGCAGAGTTGAGATTGGAGTTCATTCCAGATGTGGAGGGTGGTCTGAGTCAGGGCATGGAGATGGAATGCCATGCATGAGAAAGAGAGCAGGGTAATTTGGCTGGACTGCAGCGTGTAAGGAGGAAGAGTAATTCATGTACAATGAGGCTAGAAAAATAGGCCAGGTTGTGAAGGGCTTGGAAAGCCTGACAGAGGACTTTTATGTTTGATCCCAGAGGCAACAGGGAGTTTATTGAGCAGGGGAATGAATGATGTGATCAGATCTGCTTTTAGGGATGGACACCTGGACATCAGTATGGAGGAATAGGTTGGGGGGGGGGACACACTGATGCAGGGAGACCCCATAGGTAGCCATTGAAATAATTGAAGCAAGACGTGATCAGGACCAGGATCTGGGAGCTGTGTGAGTGTGGAGGAGAGGTTGATATGGGAGAAATGGCAAAATTTGGCAGCTGATTAGATAATTGGGGTGAGGGAATTAGGAGTCAAGGCTAATGGAACACTGCGAGCCTGAGAGGCTTGAAGAATGCTGGTGCGTTCAATAGGAGGAGGGGAGGGAAGAAGCAGTTGTATAGCACCTACTATGTGCTAAGCACTTTGCAGATATTATCTCATTTGCTTCTCACAATAACCTTGGGACGTAGGTACTATTATTACCCCCATTTTACAGCTGAGAAAACTGAGGCAAACAGAGGTTAAGTGACCTGCCCAGGGTCACAGTCAGTAATTGTCTGAGTTCAGATTTGAGTTTGAGCCTTCCTGACCCCTGGGCACCGAGGTGCCAGAAATAAGAAAGTTTGGTGGGGGGTGGAGAATGTTGGGGACATGTTAAGTGTGAGATACTTATGGGACATCCAGTTCGAAATACTCAGTAGGTAGTTGGGGATGAGGGACAGGATTAGGGGAGACAATGTTTTTGGTTATATGGACCTGTGCATCCTCTGTATATAGAGAGATGATAATTAAAGCCATGGAAGCTGAGGAGATCATCGAGAGGGTGCAGAGAAAGAAGAGAAGGCCAAGGACAGAACCTCGAGAAATATAGTTGGGAGTGGGATGTGGATGAAGAGGTGCTAAGGAGACCGAAAAGGAGTGATCGGACAGATAGATAGCAGGGGAGCCAGGGGAGAACTGGGTCACAAAAACCTCGGAAAGAACGTTCAGGAAAAGAGAGCGAATGGTCAATAGCATCAGGTGTGGTCGAGAGTCCAAGAAGGATTAGGACTGAGAAAAGAATGTCAGCTTTGGCGGCTGGGAGAACTGGTGACTGAGGAGAGAAGGATTTCGGTGGAGTGATGAGGTCAGAAGCCAGATTTAAAGTGATTGACGAGAGATGAAGTCGAGGACGAGGATAGATGGTTTGGCTGAGAAAGGGGAGGGAATGTGACCTCTTGAGGTGAAGGTAGGAGCTTAACGAGGGCTTTTTTCCCCAGGATGGGGAGACTTGGGCATGTTTGTGGGCATCAGGGAACTAGTAAATAGGAAGAAGATGGTGGGGCATGATTGAATGGCAGTCTTTTGGAGAAGACCCAAGAGAATGGGGTCAAGGGCCCGTGAACCAGGATCATTCTACTTGGAATAATCAGTCACCCAGCCATCAAGTGTCAGAAATGGATCTTAAACTCAGGTCTTCCTGGCTCTGAGGCATATTACCCTGCCTCTCAAGTTAATAAGAATAATTAGCTTAAATCAAAATTACCAGAGAGAGGGTAGAGATGAGCTGCCCCCCTGCCCCACTCAAGTCTCCTCCCTCTTTCTCCACCTCTTCCCTCCCCAATCATGCCTCAGATATGGTTAATGGTATCTACCCAGTACCCCAAATTTCTAATTATGGTCCTGCTTCTAGACCACTCATATTGAGAGGAAAGAAGGTGAGAACATAACTGTCTAAATTAGGAGAAAATACTTCAGAGATTACAAATGACAGCAAGTTTCCTTGTACCCATACTACTTCTTGGTAGGTTGGGTACCTGGGTATGTTGCTCCTACCCTCACAGGTCACCTGAGCCCCAAGTGAAGCTTAGAGTGTCCAGCACTTTGGAGTCCGGGGGCTGGGCCTTCCCCCAAAGTCAGACCTAACCAGGGAGCCCCAAGAAGCCTTGGGGAATCTCGTAGAGCACCCAACTTTGTGGTTCACAAGTAGAAATATGGTAGATGGCAGATGACAAAAAGCTTACTGGCTTGGTCTTTTTGGCCTCCCTCCAAGGCAGTTTCCTTCTGAGTTGTTTGATTAAGACATCAAATCTCATTTTCTTTTCTTCATTATTGTAGGGTGTTAACGGGGCCTCCTGAAAACATTTAATAGCTGATTCCTCACAGTGTTTCTGAAAGAAAAAATGTTTACATACGTATCAGAAAACCATGGAGAAAAAGTGGCCTTCTCTGCCTTGGTCATTCCATCTTTCTCAGTGGTTGGAGTTCATATTAATTAGTAACTGGCATCCAAGTTGAACAGTAGATAGAGCACTGGGCCTGGAGTTAGGAACACCTGATGCCAAATCCTGACACTTAATAGCTGTGTTGCCATGGGCAAGCCACTTAATCTTTCTTAGGCTTGGTTTCCTCATCTGTAAAATGGGGAGATTAATTCAATGGTCTCTGAGGTCCCTTCCAGCTCGAAATCTATTTATGAAAGTTTAAAACTTGCCTCTTTCACATAAGACTGTGTGATGCCAGGCTTAACACCTGCGTGTCTTAGGCAATTCTCTGACAGTTAGAGAAGGTGCCCACCTGCACTGGTGGAGGGACTTTCCTCATTCAGAAGTTCCCTACAGCAATGAGATCATAGGTCTGGGCCCCCTACCCTTCCTTCCCTCCTTTAGAGTTTGGAAAGTGCTTTGTAGAACAATGGTGTTGAGTTCTTTTGACAACCCCCAGAGGAAGGTGCTACAGGTAGCTTCTTAACCATTTTAGAGATAAACAAGCAGGTTCGTAAAGGCTCAGTGACTTGCCCAAGGTCACAGAGCTAGTAAGGATCAGAGGCAGGATCTGAACCCAGGTCTTCTGCACTCCAAATCCAGCAGTCCATTCACTTTTCTATTTGGCCTCTCATAAGATCAGGGAGGGGACCTTTAAAGGAAGGAAGGAAGGATCTAGAGTGTGCCAGGGGCTGTGCACCTGCTACTTAAGTGCTTTACAAATATTATCTCATTTGATCCTCACAACAACCCTTAGAGGGAGGTGCTTTTATTATCCCCATTTTATGGATGAGGAAACCAAGGCAAGCAAAGGTTAAGTGATCTGCCCAAGGTCACACAGCTAGTGTCTGAGTCCAGATTTGAACCTAGGGCTTCCTGACTCCTGTTCCAAGGCTCTATCCATTTACTGCCTGGCTGCCTCTTGGGTACCATCAACCGCTTACCTGGTGTCCTGCCCTGGATAGTTCAGGAATTCTGGAATATACATTCATCACTTAAGAGCCATCAGTGTATCGTTTTGAAAAATGTGTTCTGTCGAAAGCTTAGAAAGGTTGCGTTCCATATGACCCTGGATAAATCACTTTACTTCTGCACCACAGCAGAAGCACTCTAAAACTGTAAGATATACAGAGGCTACAATCTACATGGACAGAGAGAGTTTCCTCACGTGGGAGTGCCTTATATGAATGAAACCACAGGTTCAGGCCCTTTCCCTGTTATAAAATCAATACAACCAAACAATCTGATCTGCAAGATATGGAAGGAAAGAACAGAGACCCTTAGAATGGGAAAATCCTTGGGATAGCCTGCTTTGAAGAGGCATGCATTAGCTGGCCATGCTTTGGTAAAAACAGTATTTGCCAAATACTATCATAATTTAGAAATGGAAGGGATCACAGAGATTAGCTCCTCCGATATCTTTATTTTACAGATGAAGAAACTGAGGCTTAGAGAGCTGGTCACATGGATAGTAAGTAGCAGAGCTAAGATTTGAACTCAGGTCCTTAGACTCCCAATTCTTAAACTGGGGTCCATGGACCCCAAGTTGGGGGGTGTCTATAAATAGATTTCGGGGTCCCACAAGCTTGGATTTTAAAAAAATCACACCTTTGTTTTGTGTAATCTCTAATTGAAATTTAGCATTTCTTTCAATTAGGATTTTTTAAAAAATTCGGAGAAGGTCCAGAGACTTTACCAAAGGGATTCACAACAGAAAAAAAGTAGAAGACAAAAAAAAAAAAAATCCATCCTGGGATCAGAACTGATAAAGAAAATCGAGGGCCCCTCACCTTGAAAAATAAAGCTTACAATTGTTTGGTTATTTACATGAATCAAGTTAATGCCGGTTCTACGAAAGCGTAGGATCCTAAGTGTAGGCAGAGCCGGAGGAGACCCCACGGTCGTTTGGCCCAGCCTCACCACCATACACGTGAGGAAACCGAGGCTCAGAGGACGGGATCCTGCTGGGGCTCCCCAGCTGGCAAGAGAGCGAGTGTCCGCGGCTCATAGGGGACCCTAGAGCTGGGAGGCACTGAGGAGGCCGTGGCGTCAAGCCTCCTCGTTACAAATGAGGAAGCCGAGGCTCTTGGAGGTTGCCTTCCACAGTCACACACCGAGTAGCAGAGGCGGGATCCGAACCCAGGGCTCCCTGACTCGAGCCTGGCGCTTCATCTGCTCTACCATGAATTGGTTACATTTTTTTTTTTTAAATTCAAAAAGCTTCGTCTTTGGAATTTTTGTAAACGAAAGTTCGATGGTTCGGGGTCGTGCCCCCTGCCTTGCACTTTTCGCAGCCCCGCGGATCTCCTGTGGGTCCCTCGAATTTCCCCTGAGTGCTGATTAGGGACCCTGCACCGACGTGATCGCGGCTCCCGACCCAAGCCCCGGCTTCTCCTCTCTGCTTTCCCTCCCTCCCAGGCTGGCCGCCAGCTTTCAGCAGGGCCAGGCAGCCCCCTTCCGCAGCTCGGTCAAAATGCTTATTTAAGAGAAACGATTTCTAAATGTGAACTCGGGCGCTGCATTTTTCCTTGAAAACCACATACTCGCATTTGTTTCAGTTTCTCTCGTTTTCTTTTCTTTTTAACCACTACCGGCCTAACTTACTGGAAAAAAAATAATATTCATAATTAAAGAGGCAAATTTTCCAGCTGAAACTGAAAAACCTTAACTGTTTCATCCGTGATGATCTGAAGAACCAGCGTTTCTCACCGAGGCCCAGGATTGCTGAGTTAACACTTCCAGGTGTGTGTTGACAGCAAGTTAGCCTCCAGAGCAGAATGGAGCCCCGCGGACCTCGTATCATTGCCCCGCTCATCTGCTGGGTGCGGGCTGATGTGTCTAAAGCAGATTTACTGCAAGTCGGGTGAGCCCTTTGCATTACAGTGCCTTTGCCGGGAGTGCTTTGGAGATGACTAGGTGCTTTTCTCCAGATCGCAGCCCTGGCAGATAGGCTAAGTGCAGATGGTTTTAGCTCTGTATCGCCAGGTTCAGAAACAGCTCAGAAAAGCTGCTTGTGACTCGAGCAGGGTCACGCAGGTGGCACGTAGCCGGACCACAATTCAAAGCTAGGTCCCTCCTGACCCCAATTTATAGAACCATAGGATCATAGATGAAGAGTGAGGGGGGGCCTTGGAGGAAGGAAATAAGCATTTACATAATGCCAACTGTATGTGCCAGGCACTGCGCTCAGCACTTGACAAGGATCCTCACAACCCTTGGAGGTTGGTGCTATTATCATCCCCATTTTATAGTTGAGAAAACTGAGGCGGATAGAGGTCCCATAGCTGTGTCTGAGGCTAGATCTGAAGTCAGGGCCAGTCCTGTCCACCGTGACACCTAGCTGCTTCTAATAGCTCTAGAGGCTGCTAAGTCCAATCCTCTCATTTTACAGATGAGGAAACTGAGGCACAGGGAAGTTAAGGGACTTAGCCAGGGTCATCCAAGTAGAAAGTTCTTAGAGCCTGAGATTTTACCTTAGGTCTTTCCTGATTCCAAGTCCAGCTCTATCCATTATGCTGCACTGTCTTGCTGAAAGGGATCTGATCTGAGCCTCCTTAAACTTGCAATGAAAAGTCCTTTGGTGTGGTGGAAGGAGGGCTGAACAGAGTCAAGAGGAATACATTTATATTCCAGTTCCAACTGTATGACCTTGGACAAGTTCCTCTTTGCCTCAGTTTCCTCACCTGTAAAATGGGGATCATAATGCTAACTCTTCACAGGTTGGTTATGAGGAGAGTGCTTTGAAAATTTGAAAGTACCATGGAAATATGAGCTGATTGAACCACAGACAACGTAGAAATGAGCATCTCGGGTCTTCCCCACACACACGCATACTGGCTGACATCTTTGCCCACCCACCGCCTCTCCGAAGCACTGTGTTGCTATGGCCACCTGGTTCCCCCAGCAATGTGGGACCCTGGGCCGGTGTCCTGTCCTCCTCCAGGAGGCAGGTCCTGGGACCTATCGGGAAGGCTAACTTTGGATATCTTTTCCTTGACCTTTGGCCATTATGAATTAGCCAATTGAAATCTATGGAGTTCTCTACTATTGTTTGAGGGTCATAGATTTGGGAAACCCAAGGAAGTCAAAAGCCACAGTGACAAACCATTGAGACACACTCCTTCCTCTTTTTCCAGCAGGAGATTGAGATGAGGGCTGTGCCTGCAGCCAGGTGCACTGTCTTAGATTTCACACAGGAAAATGTTTGCCTTCATTAAAATAGAGTTTGCCTTCATTAAAATGGAATTTCACAGCCCATGGAGGCTCCAGCTACAAATCTGAAATTTGCTGGACTGGCTGAATGCTAAGAGGTCCCCTCTAGCTCTAAATCCTGTATGTCTGATGATGCTCTGTTATATTTTTCAGAACAGAAGCATCTAAAGAGGTGCTTTGCTCCCTTGGACACATCCCTTTTGTTCTACATGGAAGCTGGGGTTTGAGTCATTGAAAAAATAGGAAGTTGTATAGATGTACAGATAATTTGTAATAACTGACATTATAAAAAGTTCATTAGCTTACAGCTGGAACGGACCTTATAGGACCCCCAGTCCAACACACTCATTTTATAGATGAGGACACTGAGCCTTAGAAAGGTGAAGTAACTGGCCTAACGTTAACATGGAAAGCAAATGATAACAGTCAGGATTTGAACCTAGGTACTCTGACTTAACATAGTGCCCAGAACATAGTAGGCTTACTATAAATGTTTAGTTCCATTCCCCTTCTTTCCGTGGTACCCCAACTGCCTAATAGTCCCTTGAGAACTTTACAAAGCATTTGACATGTATAATTTCATTTGTCTTCCCGACAATTCTATGAGGCCAGTACCGTAGGTATTCTAATCTCCATTTTACTGATGAGGAAATTGAGGCTCTGAGAATTTAAGAGACTAAAGTGTAAGAGGTGGGATTTGGGCCCAGTTCTTGAAGGCCAAGTCCAACATTCTATCTAATACTCCACTAAGAATCATACAAAGTCTGTGGACTTGTCTACTACTGCAGACTTCACAGTTTTTCCACCGTGGGTCGGAGTCTCATCTACAATCAGTGTCATTCCCAACCCGACCCTAGTGAAGTGCTCTGCGTACACTGATTAGGTAAGTACTCAGTAAATGTTGGGTGCATTTTATCACATTTGTGTGCCAGACAATACAACCTCTAACATTCACCGTCTGAAAGAAACACTTAGATGATTCACTTTTGTATCCTTCCAGAGGCCAGTCAAATGGTCTTGGCTTGAGTGAAGGGGAGACAAAAGGGAGACCAAAGTGGAAGCACTTTCTCCTTTTCTGAGTTGGCCCGCTGGGAAGGAGCCGTAACTCTTCCAACCACGTCCTTTGTCACTGGTATCAAACACCATTTGACAAGTATTATCTCATTGCTGAGACAATAGCCTTTCATTTGCCTCATTGTTTACACATTCAGAGCATGATGGGCAGATGCATCTATTAAGAAGCATTCCCCCTTGGACTCAGTTAGGGACAACCTCCCCCTAATTGGTTGGAGGGAGCTCTTAGTTTGATGCCTTTTGCAAAGTGCGTACAGTAAATAGTGGGGCAGAGTAAGTTTTAGTAAAAATGAGTTACTATGACTCATTCACTTTCTCAACTATTTACACTCATTTACAGTAACTCCTTGCTTGTTATTCTTTCGTGTAACATTTAAATCCCTCCCTGTGCTGGTCCCTAGCTTTCTTATTATTTTTGTTTTTGAAAACACAAATGCACAGCAGTGAAAACATGCATTCACCACTTTCTGTGTGCTGTGCATGCAGGAATTAGCCTGAAGTTAGTGCTATCTAACTGGTCCTTCCTGAGATTCTGATGGATTTCTTTTTAGGTAGTTTAAGAATGCATAATTCATGGTGCAAGCAATACCTAACTAATCAGCAATACTCAGAATCCCTCTGAGACCCCAAAGAAGTGTAGTTATCTCAATGCCCCTGCTCTTGGCCATCCTACTAATTATTTGTCTTTACCTTAATGAACAAGCCTCTCGTGGTATGCATCCATATTTTACGTGCTTCTTCCTAGCCATTAAGAATTAGATGAGTTGCCTATTTCTCAGGTCCTTTCTCAAGGCAGAGTGAGGGACCTTGTGGCTCTCTGGGTATTCATTTCAGCCTAGTAGATTTGCAGAATCTTGGCTGGGGAATAATTCAAATCTCACCTTGGTCATTTGTTAACTATGTGACCTTAGGCAAGACACTTGACATCTCTGGGCCTCAGTTTCCTCATCTGAAAAATGAGACACCTGGACTTTATGGCCTTTAAGGCCCCATGCAGTTCTAAATCCATGGTCCTAAGATGCTATCTATGATAGATGCTATCTATCTATGACTTGGAAGTGATAGAAGATCAAATTCAAGAGATGGACATATGTAAAAAAAAAAACCCTCTTAGATTATACCTGAATGTACTTGATATACCTGACCACTCATCATAGAAGAAAGTTTAATATCTGAGCAAACGATATATCAACATTTTATAACTTGTTGCATATAAGATTTAATTCCAAATCAATGGACTTTTGAGGATGAATGATTTAATTTAGATGCTACTCCACACTCCTGCTTGCCCTACCAGGGTAGGACATTTCTTCCTCATCAGCCTTTTACAATACTCAAACATAAACATTTAGAGCAATGTAGAATTGGTCTTACCTCAACATTGTCGGGGGTAGGCAGAAGTGCAGGATCCTAGAGCAAAAGAAAATGGCATTCATGTGATTTTTAGGTGGAAAAGGGCTTCTTTCAGACGGGGAACAAGCAGCATCAAAGCCTTGGGTCGTTCGCCCCTTGGTGACGGCTCTGTTCTTACTCACCGTATCATTCACACACGTTTTCAGCTGTTGAACAATTTGTAGAAGTTGGACCATCCTGGTCTGGCGGCGGATTGGGGAGCTGTGTTTAGGGGCCACTGTCCCAGAGAAGATGATGACCAGGCAGTAGATGACTATCCTCTCCATGGGGCCAGGTTTTAGGCTTCCAATTGCCAGGAGTCAATCCCTATCTTTGCTAAGGATCTTACTAGAGGGGTACAATGGACAGGCTGTCAGCCACTCACCTATTTATTCATCCTTGCAGGAGAGCTAAAGCCCTCCCATTTCAGCCTGGAAATCTTTGTGAGATGGATGTATGTGAGTAACTTTTTTCTTTTCCACTGGCTAGGTATACGTGTGCATGTGTGAGGGCGTGGGGGCAGGGATTGATGGAGACAGCAAAATATGCCCCATCTGCATGTTAGACAGGAAAAGGAGAGAATGGGTGGATTCCAGTTTTCACCATGAATCAAAAGGGGCCCAGAAGTAAACAGTAGGTATTATAAGACCTCAAAGCAATAAACAAAAACACCTTGATCTCCTTTTTTCAGGCCACCCACAGCATCTTACCTGTGCCATCTGACACCCTGGGGGCACACTCATAGTGACACTCCAGTGATGAGTCAGCTGGCCTCATTTGTTGCTCTATAGGTCTTACCCCAGTGACTTTGTCATTCTGTTTGGAATTAGCTGGTATGCCACCAACTATGTAGGAGGAGAGGAAGCCTTTAGGAAGTTTTGAATAGAGAGGGCATTTCCCAAAGAAAAATTCTAGGTTCTGGCTAACTCAGAAATGGGACTCAGTCAGTCAACCAGCATTTATTAGGTTCCTACTGTGTGCAAATAGCACATATGCAATAGCAAATCTTGGTCTGCTGTCATTAATATTGACACCTACCAACACTGTGAACTTGGGCAAATCACTTATCTCTGAGAATCAGTTTCTTCATCTGTAAAATGGGGATAATAATATTTCTAGTACTAACCTCACAAAAGTGGGGTGACATGATGTACATATAAGATAAAGTGCCTGAAGTGCTTCACAGACTTTACAGAGCTCTGTATAAATGGCATTATTATTATTATAGTGTTGGTGGTTTCTGACACTGCATTTGAATATCTTGATTTGCTAATATGCGAAGTACTACACCTCCCTGGCCCAATGCTGCATCCTTGTTGAGCAGCCCTTCCATGACATGGTTAAGTAAATCACTTTTTGTTAAATGTTAGATGTTCCATGAAGGTCTCGTTCACCTAGGTGGCTGATGTGGAGAGAGGGAGAGGGAGAGGGAGAAAGTGAGTAGAGTGTAGACAGTAGGGAATGGAGAGAAAATAGAAGTGGGCCCAGGACAGAGCCTTGGAGGACATCCACAGTGACAGGGTGTGATATGGATGAGAAACCAGCAAAGGAAACTAGAGTGGTCTGATAGATAGGAGGAGAATCAGGAGAGAGCATAAAGAAAAGTATATCCAGGAGGAGAGAGTAGTCAACTGGGTCAAATGCAGTAGCAGAGAAGTCAAGGAGGATGAAAACTGAGAAAAGACCATCAGATCAGGTAATTCAGAGATACCTGGTGACTTTGGACAGAGCTGGTTTGGTTGAGTAATAGATGAGAAGTCCTTACAAAGGGTTGAGGAATATGTGTGAGGAGATAAAATGAAGGCAAGGGCAGATGACTTTTTCTAAGAGTTTGGCTGAGAAAAGAGGGGAGAGATATAGGATGATAGCTTGAGGAGGGGTAGGGTCTAGTGGAGACTTGGAATAGTAAAAAACTGAAGGTAAGAGAGGGAGCGTGATAATGGAGGCAACCTGCTAGGAAAGACCAGAAGGAATGGCATCAAGGCCATGTGGAGAAGGGTTGGCTTTGGAAAGGAGAAGGAACCTCCTCCTTATCCAGAGACTGGAACAAAGGAGAGACTGGGAGATGTTATTGAGAGATTTGTAGATGAAGAGAAGAGGAGCAGTGGTAATTCAACAGCCTCATTCTTTCTCAGTAAATTGGTAAGGTCTTCCAGTGAGAGGATGAAGTAAGGGGGAGATATAGGAAGCTTGAAGAGAGAAGAGGGTACTTGTTATGGCTTCTGTGGGGAGTGAGACAGGAACTTGATTAGGGAGGGATAAATGGTCCCACTTGAAGCTGGAGACCTTAAGTCTGTAACACCTGGTCAGCACCAATTTGTGATTTCCTCCCGCTCAATTAAGCAGCATGTGAGTAGGAGCAAAGGAGGTGGATGGTGGGAGTAAGAGAGGGTTCGAGTCTGGCAAGGGATGAGCAGTGATAGGACAAGAGTGCAAGGTATTCCAGTGGACAGCTCAGTGTGCAGAAGAATTGGTTAATTTTAGGGTCAAAATGGAGAAGGGAAGAAAGTACATCCAGAACAGGGCTGATGGTCTGGGAGCATACTGAGGGATGAAGCGGGGGACTGGAGGTGGAGATGAGAGTGAGGTGGAATGATCATGGACAGAAAGAGGAAACTCAGATTTTAACACCAAAGAATAATGGTGAATCATTATTGGTGATTAATGGTGAGATGCAGGTGACCATCCCTTTAAGTTGCTGGGTTAGAGTGGAGAAGCAGTCTGTGGGATCTGAGAAGACAGAGGAGCTGGGAGCTTAGGGTTTGAGGGAGCATCCACATAAACAAAGAAAGACCCTGGGAGGAGAGGAAGGCAGTTAGCAAGGTGCTGAACTTTCAGGCAGTAGACACGCATTTAAATTCTGGTTTTGGCCCTTACAGTTCCACCATGAGCGGGCCTCAGTTTCCCCACCTATAAAATGGAGATATTGATAACCTGTACTACCTATTTTACAATGGAAAGAATGCTAGTTTTGAAATCAATGGAACTGGGTTGAATCCTGGGTCTATCTACTCTTTTCTATGAACGTAACCTTCGGCAAGTCCCTTCCCCTAATCTATTTCAATCTCTTCTTCTATAAATGAAGGGTTGAGTTTAATAGATCAATAAGGTCTCTTCCAGTTCCAGGTCCTACATGAGACTTGTTTGTTCTGAGGATGAGGCACTATATCTATTAATTTGTAAATTAAACCTATGAAAAGTTGTAGGTAGAATGGGAAACTGAAATTGGATTTTTATCAAATGCTGGCTTGTTTGCCTGGTTACCTCTTCAGGTAACTAATCTGCCCTTTAACCTTGCTGTGCCTCAGTTTCTTCTTTTGTTAAGTGAGGGGCTTGGTTTCTAAGTCCCTCACGCTCTAAAACGATGATCCACTCACCTGGTTCTTCCCTCTGGAGCCGAGCAGAATAAGTCAAAGTCAAAGGACGACCCTTTGAATACTGAAGACAGCCCTCAAGTCCTATTCTGGCTCACAGTATAACTTGTGGCAAACTCCTTGCGATGCCCTCACTCATCCTTTCCCCTCATCTTCTTTCCTTCAGGGTGAACATCCTGTTCTTTCCTTTGACCAGTCTTTGGATGGCATGAATTGGAATCCCTTTGCCATCCTGGTCATCTCTGCTCAAGACCAGAATACTACAGAGGCAGTTTGACATAGAGATGATAGCACTGAGCTTGGAGTCAGGAGAAATAATAATTCGCATACTACTGACCTCCTGGGCTTGCACGAGAAAGTCATGTTGCAAGCCTTCAAAAACAGTAGGAATGTACGTAATAGTTACTGCCACTCTCTGTGTCCCAAGCAAACCCCTGTACTTTCTGGCCTCTGTAATTTTTGCTCATGTTCTTTGTGTCTGAAATACTCTTCTCCTTTTTTTCCTCGTTCAATTCTTGTTGTTCAGTTGATTTTGATCATGTCCAACCCTTTATGACCCCACTTGGGGTTTTCTTGGCAGAGATACTGGAATGGTTTGCTATTTTCTTTTCCAACTCATTTTACAGATAAGGAAACTGAGACAAACCGGGGTAAGTGACTTACCTGGGGTCACAAAGCTAATAAGTGCTGAGGTCAGATTTGAACTCAGGAAGATGAGTCTTCCTGACTCTAGGCCTTTTGCTCTATGCACTATGGCACCACCTACCTGTCCTTATTCAATTCTTGTTGTTTTTGTCCTTCATTCTTGAAGAGGACCGATGATATCGGTAGGTGAAATCATGATTTGCAGTGGAATTAAGTGAGGCAGGGCTGTGCAAAGTCACCAGCCTCACTCTCTCCTCCAGAGTCATCTGGGTCCAGTGGTAGGATATAGATCAGGACAACAGAAGATGGCCCCCTGATGGAGTAGGAGACCGTGGCCTTTTTAAGCTAAGGTCTTTCACAGGTCTCACCATTCAGTAATTAGGGCTAGATAAGAAATGAGACAAAGAATGACCTCTTTTACCTACTCAAAAAAAATCAATTTGGAGCAGAAGACCATCAGGGTTTCTGACCACAACAGAAACAATTACTGTTTATACTCACTCTAAGCCATCAAAATACAAATAACGACCAACTGAGGCTTGGACTGGGACTTATTATTGGCCAATCAGTGAGAGCCAGAGTGATTTGGGTTTAAGGCATACTGAGTAGCTCCATTTGAATCCCAATGGATCTTACCAAAGCTTGGTTTTTCCAGAATTCTATTTCAAGAAATCCACTTTTCTTTGGGCAGAGCACCCACGTGTAAGTGCATGATTCTCCGTCTGGACAGAGGGAGGGAGGGAAGAAGGAAGGAAGGAAGGAAGGGAGGAAGGAAGGAAGGAAGGAAGGAAGGAAGGAAGGAAGGAAGGAACGATGGAAGGAAGGAAGGGAGGGAGGGAGGGAGGGAGGGAGGGAGGAAGGAAGGAAGGAAGGAAGGAAGGAAGGAAGGAAGGGATTGCCTAATTAGAACTGGCCAGTTGGGTCCCCAGTGGGGTAGCTACTACTCCTCACAGATTATTGTTTGTCCTTCTTTCTCAAAGAGGACTAATAACATCAGGAAAGTGGGTTTATTTATATGCAGAGGACCAAAGATTTCGAGATGAAAAGTACCTTAGAGACCACCAAGTTTCACCCTCTCCTTTTACAGATAAGGAAACAGGCTCAAAGAGATTAAGTGATTTGGGAAGGATCCTATAAACCATAAGTTTCTGAGGCAGAATTTGAATTCAGATCTTCCTTCCTAGCCCAATGGGCCACCTGGCTGCTGTGATGTGTTTTCTCCCCCAGACTCTTGACTACCTCCCCACCAGGAATTCCCTTAGCATTTTACACCTCTAATAATAATAATAATGATAGAGAACATTTATATAAGGGCTTAAAACAATCGCAAAAGAATTGAAAATTAACATTACCAAGTTACAAAGAACAAACTTAACCCTAAGGAAGAGGTAAGAGAAGATACCTCACTCCATTCCTTTGGAAATGTAGG